AAGAAGATGTCGAGGACACACTCAGGACAGTTCAGACATTGCAGTGAATCAGAGGTACAAAACGATATAAATACTGTTCAGTTTCTTGCAAAGACTGATCGTTTCGTGTCTTTACACATCAATGTATCGTCACGAGCTGCAGGGTTTAATTTGGTTTTGTTTGTGTATGTTTTTTTGACTCTCAAAGCCGTGATTCCCATTCACCTCCATTATATGACTGACAGACTGCAACGGTTTGAGTTAAAAATCTTTGTTTGTGTTCTACTGAAGAAGCAAAGTCACCTACATCTTGGATGCCCTGGGGGTAAGCAGATAAACATCAAATTTTCATTTTTGGGTGAACTATCCCTTTAACTGTAACACTTTAACACATTCTGTCATTTGTCATACTTTCCACATTTATTAACCTACTGTACATAATCAGTGATATAGTCATCACAAGTTGGTTTAAAATGTTTTATGAGTATAGCAAATATTTAACTTTATTTATTATCTTAATAGGTTTTGGAACAGAGCTACTGTTTGTGTGGTTTATTTTATTTTATTTATGAATAAATAAATAAATAAATATATACATACATACATACATACATACATGAATTAATACAAATACAATAACAAAATAAGACAAACAGTAGCTCAGTTCCAAAACATATTAAGTTAACTACCTAGATAGCATAGACACCATTCCAACACATTATAATTACTGTATTTCCAAGATAGCTCTTCTAATTCTATCTGTAGAATGGGACATACTCTGCAAAAAGATCTTATACGTGACCGTGTCATGCTGTTATTTTAGCAACACTAATGTCAAACTCTATTTGAATCACTCCTGAGTTGAAAAGTGTGCTGTTAAAGTGGCATGAGTGTTATGTAAAGTTACTGCCATAATGTTTCAATTTTATTCACCTATGAGGTTCCATTTCAGTTATAGGATGCTGCCTATGTAGGCAGTAGACATCAAGACAACTCACTAGATTTTAAAGCAGAGCTATTGTGTCTTGGGTAAAGAGTTTACATATTTGAAAGCTTATTTAAAATGTACTCGCATGAAGACAGAAAAACTAGAAATAGTAATGTGCCTGTGACACATATACCTGCATAAAAAGAGAGGCCTTGCTTACTTGCCTGTATAACCATAAATATAGGAGTTTGTGACGGTGTGGCGTCACACCCTTGAGATTTATCAGCGCATTTGTAAGGACAGAAGAGCAGCGGTACATCTCTCTCAATACAGGTGTGCACCTTTGACTCTGGCGCTCTCTGATTACCTTCCCCCACAGGATGAAAGAGGGATGGGTTTTATGAGGGGCAGGTGAGACATATTACCCCCCATGGCTGAAACTCTAGACATGATCTAACTGAAAGCTAGAGATTTTAAAATTGAGGGAAAGAGGAGAAGGGGGGGGGGGGGGGGGGTTAGGGGGGGGG